AGATTAATTCAAAGTCATGAGCTCGAAAGGTATTATTTTCTATAAAAAAAATTTCTATAAAAATAATTTCGATTTATAAATATAATATATACTCAGTGAGCGTTTATTTTTATTTTTTAAATGCAATTTTATTACTCTTAGTGAAAATAAGAAAAACAATTAAAAAAATAATAAAAATCATACTTTAAAGGTTTTCTAAGTTAATTAATTATTGCAATAAAAAGTACAATGCTCTTAAAAAAAATGGACGTATTCGTCAAAAATTTTTGTTTTTTTTCCTTAATTGTATTTTACTCGATAAATTCATAAGAAATTCTTTGTATGATTTCCTCTTCTTTTGGAAATATTAGAAATATGCGACTAATGGTAAGGATAAGATCAGCAATACAAATTCAAGGTTAGTATTACAGATTTTTTTATTAATTTATAATCATAAATTTAAAAGACGGACATTAACACAAAAAAAATAAAGAAAAAAAAAAGAAAAACAACGATTCTCACTGCACTAAATCTGACAGTAGATCGTGAATTTTCTTTTAGATCAATTTGTCCATGAAATTCAATGCTCTAGTCCCTTTTAATGTATCCAGTGCGCTTTAATTTCTCCTTTTGTATTTGCAATATTGGGATACATCAACGAAACTTCTGCCATCCGCCCCGCGACCGATTATCGTGCGACTTAACCCCACCCCCTGACATCTACTCATTGTATTTCCCGATGGGGCAGATATAATAATATACGGGTCATTGTATGTGTCCTGGTGAGAGGTGGGATCGCACTCCTCGAGGATAAATAGATAATATAACTCGGGCGCGCATTAAATACTCGATTATCTCTGATTCATTCCATTTTATAATATATAAAATGTTTTACTATGAAATAAAGTCTTTAAGGTAAATTCTATTATTCTATTCTCTATAATTTTAAACTGTTTCAACGTGCGCTTTACATAGACTACATTAATGCATGTTTATGATAATCAAACGTAGCTGTGTGTGTGTATATATATATATATATATATATATATATATATATATATATATATATATTCCTACACTAATATATAATTTGTAAATTATTTTAACTGATTTAATTATATCGTTGTATCGCATTACCATATGATAATTTTGATTAAATTGCAATTTCAACATTAAGGTTGTCTTTTACAAGATATTTATAATTATACCAGACAGAATCGCACTAATCAATTTATAAATTTATACATTTAAAATATTAAAATAAATCTTATATGATGTAGTATTATTTAATGAACAATTCTGAATATCCTTGGATGATTTCAGAAATTTTTTCTCCAGATTTTCGTAAAAAGCATTCAATTTTCATTCAATTCGTAGATAATATTGTATCTCAATTTACAAGCAAATAGCAAATAGCAAATAGCAAATATCAATTGATGAAGGCAAGGAGATTGGCTGTATTTCGACATGAAAGTGTGAAAATTAAAATAATAAGCTTTTACATTATGTAGAATAAATGATAAAAACAAGATTTTACGTTATATTTCGTGTCAATGTCGATATCTTTCAAAATTCACGATTAAATATAAAGGTTAAGCGAGTGCTTAAATTCTGCCACAATGCAGTTTTGATAGTATTAAAATAAAAATAAAGTATAAAATATTTTTAATCGAATGGAGTACAGTTGGCGAATATATCGATATTGAATTCCGTTCTCCAAACTTATGTATTTCCGGTAAATTTAGAGATAATCATACTTTAGCCGAGCCAACGAGTCCGAATGCGCGGGAGATTAGCACGAAGCGAATCACTGTCAAAGCCATTGGAGTGTGCGAACGAAGGTCCGAGTGAGATAGAAGCCGAGTACTTGGAAGCGATGGTTGAGGGGAAGAGCTTTAACGTCAATCGCGAGTGGAGTCAAGCGAGCGAGAGGAAAAATCAACTGGAGCGCACTTGATATTGGCTCGAGCGACACGAACGAGCATGCGCCTATTATTATAATGAAGCAGATGCGATGGAGTGAGACACGAGGGCTGAATGAGCTAGAGATAAAGGAACGGCACTGCTCGTAGACGAGATAACCGTTTGTGCACACCAGACAATGTGGGACGTCGAGCCGAGGATTTGATTTGCACTGGATTGGTTGTTATTGGCCTTACGACGTCTGGCTGTTAAAACTCCGGGAATTATAGAAAATTCAGCCTATCGCGTCTTCGTTATCACGACGACTTCTTTGTCGGTGAATTTTACGAGACTTGGTAATCCACTGGCAGTGGCGATACCCACCCACCTACACACGCTCAGGATGTGTAGCGTAAGCTGAGTAGAGGCAGGGCCGGATTAATATCTGGTGGCGAGTGCCGGGGTACCGGGTGGGTGGCACATCGTGTTCTTTAAATAGGACTTGAATATTTGAAAGTGAAAGGGGCAAAAGGAAGTTACATTAATAACAAATACGAAATGATGGATAATGGCCGAGTGATTGATTCGCGACTATTTAGTTTCGGTAGGCTATTATCCCTCCCCTTTCCCCTTATCAATAATTCAATAAGTAAGCCGATTATTTCGTATGAAATTAAATAATTTTTAAAACATATTGCATAATTCAGCTTAGTTGGCAAATTAAGTTTGCTTTTTCTGTTAATAATTTTCATGCACTAACGTCGGCAAATGAATTTCCAATGTATTTTGCGTTTAATGAATGAAATGAAAGGTTGAAATTTTTTCTTTACTTATTTATTCCCACGCGATAATAATAATGTCGATAAGTTTTCTCGTGTGCTTAATTAAATATCGATAAACAATCAGAATAAATGTGCGACTAAATGTCGCTGTAGTTGACAAAATTTTACCCTTACCATTGAGATTAATTATTTTTTGTTTTGTTCTGTTTTGTTAGTTTTTGTAGATTAATTAATATGCATTGAATATGATAAATTAATCTATTTGTGCATGCGATGATTAATATGATTTTCAATGAGCAATTTGATCGATAACGGTATAACTTTGGCCAGCGCTCGTTCAAGTATGTACAATTATCATTCGTCCATTGGCCCTTATCTATTACAAATATAATTGTAAACAATTTACGAGTATCGTTCAAATGTAACGGCAATCTTATGTAATTATGGAGTTGCACGGCTTCTCTCTAATGCATAAACGAGCTCGGGAATAAAAAAAAAAAAAAACTAAAAAGATATGTAGGTACGCGATCGGAAGGAATATTTCATTCGTGGTGCTATTTAAAGAGTCGCTAGTTAGAAAATACGTGTGGCATAGTGACTTGGACGTATTAAGCAATGTTTTCATCGCAGGTTAGTACATAGGCGACGTATCATTTGGCTTGAAGAAACGTTAATGGCATTATTTTCATTAATTTCTGATACTAGGCAGTAGTTATAAAATCTAACGAGTCTCGTGTTCCTTTGCTCCCGCGACTCGCATTGCCGTTCACTCATTTTCATTTTTCAAAGGCAGAAAGTACTGGCACGTGGTAAAGTAAGAGTGGCAACGGGGCCCAAGTCTCGGCTATATCAACACCGCAGCCCGATAATAAAATACATTCGTCACTAATGCAGGGAACTTGGATCGAGCAAACTATAGTTTAATATTTACGAATGCCTCCTAAAGTGGGGATAACTTTCGAGATTTCTCTTCGGAAGTACAAAGCCCGTTGCCAATATTGTATATTCGCGTTCGGTGTGCTTTCTTGATAACTCTCGAGCCAAAGGATAAAATAGTAAAGTTAAAGATAATCGAGATACTGTACTATAAGAGTGAATATTGGAATAATTGACGTAGCTTATCTTAGAGGTGTGCGGTTCTCATTTTCCAGCGAGATGTCCGAAGGAAATAGTTTACAGCAAAAGTCCAGGAATAATGCATCTAATGAGGACGAAATTAGGTAATGAATTTTAATTAAGTTCATAAGTCGCTAGGTTACCATTAAAGGCAAAACTTGTTTTTGCGATTATATGGTATGATAAAGCTTTGTCATACGGAGCCAATAAAACTCTGCGTATAAAACTTCGGTATAAAAATTATTATTTTAGCATATGTGATCACTGTGTGTTTACGTTTCTCATTGCATATGCATAATTGTCGAATAGGGAGAACATGGATTATGGTAAACATGAGAATGCTTTAATTTTGTATAGAATATTATTCAATCGACAGCGCTATTTGTAATTAATAATTTTAACAATGTCTACAAGTTTCAAAATTTTATCGTCTTACATTTTACATTGAAGATAGCGCGCATTTTAAAATGTCGTATACACACGCGCGCGCGCGCACACACACACACACACACACACACGTGTATAATTAAAAATTAAAAAAAAAATTCCTCTACGACTATAAATCATTCCAACATGTTTGGAAAAATAATTTGAGCAAAGAATGTTTTAAACGATTTTTAAAAAGAATTATTTACAAAAAGCTACGATTAATATTTAATGGAAATTTTAACAATCGTTAAATTAAATAAGTAATCAACTTTTTTTGTTTATTAAATTACTTTACATATACTTTACTTATATTTTCATCTGCTCTTATGCTTCAGCTAACTCATGAAAATTATAATTATAAATTTGAATTACTCAAAATAATCGTAATACATTTCTTAGATTTATATCAGACAGATTACCAAATAGTATATTGAATTCTTTCAATTGAAAGATATTTGAATTTTGAACTCAAGTATACGCTAATATTTCGAATATCTCCAATTCTATAAAATACAATTACCCTGCTATGACAATTTTCAAAAGTTTATATATATATATATATATATATATATATATAATATAATGTAACCCTAATATTATCGCATATAGGGATTTTTACATTACATTGCATTCTACAATTTATCACACATTAAAATTATCATTCTGCCAGCTATATTTAATACCAGAATTTTATTCAAATTGGCTAATAAATTTATTGTAATGCAAAAAAACAATATATATTGAAGCAATAATCTTAGGTTTTCTATTCAATCTTATATTTCATGCCGCACGATGTCAAATGTGCGTAAGATACTTAATGTTGTGGATTTGTCACAAATTTTTGACGTAAGGTAAGATTGGACGCGGGAACTTTAAAGACCCTACAATTAAGCAAATGAATAATATGTAATATTCATTGATTAATTATGTAATTAATTAAATTCACGAAATTGGACAATTGTCGAAATATAATATTTGTTACACGTCTAATCGATGAAATACTTTCCCATGATTTTTTTTCTTCTTCCGTTATTTCCCATTTGCACATAGCTACAAATGTGACGAACGAAAAGATTTATAGATCATGATAAATTAAGGCTTAATAAAATTCTTTCGGAAATAGTATTAGTTAACAAATTTATATCGTTGCATGGATAATTAATTAATTAATAATTAATTTTATTTACGAAGGTCTCGTTACTAGCCTATTCTGAATTATCCTAGAATTATTATTGCTTAACTACAAGTTCATTCATTAAGATTCATTCGATAAAACTAAAGAGCTCATATTAAAGTGAATAATGGACATTATCGTAATTATAAAAATCAAACGTTCAACGTTTTGATGCAATGCCAACACTGATTATACGTATGATTTTGTTTCCAAATTACCATAACGTCACGTAACAATGTATAGCGCTAAATTTAAATATAAACGTTTTATTATTAACATTTATTATAATCACTAGCAAATTAAATATTAAATATCCAGTTTCATTTATTTATTTATAAGTGTTACGGATTACATCAGTTTTAAGCGGAATGCAAAGTGGGATAGGTATGAGCGCGCGAACATTTGTTTTTTAAACACTGGCCAATGGACTCGAAGAATGCTTCTATGCCGAAAAACTCGAATATACGACTATAATTCCGTGAAGTAATAACAAATGAACCCTACAAAGCTATGCCCTATTGACGTCACGACAAATAGCGGCATAGTAACAACAGCCACCGATGCGCTATCGGTGCATTGCTTCTTGCTTCGTGTACCAATCCTGCACTCTCCACATCGGACTCGCTGCCCAACCCTGCAATCGCCATTTGAAGGCCATGGCAAGCATCAAGTAACCTAAGGAACTAATAGCGATGCCACAACTATACTAGCACCCACGCCTAAGCACGCCTAAGCACGCCTAAGCAACGCAGATGCTCGTTCCTTACTACTTCTTACTAGTTTAATCAAGCACCCATCGCGACAGGACCGCCACTACTCTACACTCGCGGTTTACGCCCGCATGTAAGTAACACCGACGCTCGTTCTTACGACCGCTACTACAGCAGATTTACAGCCAACTCAAGTATGATACGACCAGACGCTCGTTCTTACATCTCACCTCTACACCGCGGGTTACGCTCGCATCGAACACACGAACGTGCACCAATACCACCACTACATTTGAGCTCACGTACGCAAACAGTGACGTTACACGGACGTTCTCCCACCACGAGTCTCCCACTATAAAACTACTCAACGCAAAGGAAGAAGGGAAATCACGCTCCAGGCTATCAAGTATACACGTAGAGACTTATCGTCACCAACATTAATGAAGAGACACTCATCTATTCATTCTATCGTACACTCATTTCGATATTCATAGATTATTAACTATTCATTATTTATTATATTTAATAAAAGGAAAGACTATAAACATTAAAGGCAGTATTGAATAATTGCATTGCCCCTTCCACTTGCCAGCAAGCCTCCACCCACCATCATAAGGAGGTTTTTAGTCTGATCCCAGACAATAAGTCTAGAATTAATTAAAATCTCTACTTTCATTAATTTATTGGTAGAGGTGTGTTTAATGGATTATCATTAATAATTTGAAATCGATTTGTTCTTTCAGCTTGTTACAATAAGCACGGAAGCCACTTATTAAACACAGAAAATGATCGGATCTGTGATTACGTGTTGTTTATACGTAATTCAATTATCAGAATTTGCAAATGAATATTAAATTTACTTAATTAATTTGAATAAATATGAGATTACTGCATAAAATTACAATGATATTAACATAGAAGTCGTTTATATTAATAAGATGCTTCATTTATTCAATGTTTTATAAATTATTTTTACAACTTTAATTTTAATGAATTTCGCAGCATTTCAAAAATTATACATAATGTAAATTTACATAAAATCAAAAGTATACTATTGCATTGTTTGATTATCAAAACTTTTACTAAAATAGATTATAAAATTTTAATTATTCAATATTTGAAATTATGTATTATTATTTTATTTATCAACATTACAACTATATGTATATATAAAAACAAAAACAAAACAAAAAAACAAAATATAATATAGCTTTCAGACAAAGTGATGTATTAAATTATAGTAGGGAAAAATGCGAGACAAATTATAAAAATTAAACACGAATCAAAATTGTAGAAAAAAAAACCATATATGTATACATTAATAAGTAGGATAGTCGATAATAGATATAAAAATGAGAAATGGACTTATATTAAGAAGGGGTAAGTGTAAATAATAAAAAATAGAAATAGATATATCGTGAACATTAGTATCGAAATTCTAATTGTATAATAAATTGTATATAAGCATTTAATTTAATTCCTATGGAAAAAAATTGCAATTCATAGCAATATTTCAACAGTAATGAAAATGGATTGGTGCGTCTTCGTAATCCAAATCTTAAATCTTTAGACCACGATTTTCTTTATCATCTAGAACTGGGAACTAACGATCATGATTTCGTGAAGATGTTTGGAGATGTTAAGGTACTAAATTAAATAAATTAAATAAAGTAAAATTTAGTGAAATTAAATTGGATTTTATATTTATTATAACACGTTTATTCACGTATTAACGAGAATTTTTTAAAATGATTCATTAATCTCCACTGTGTGTGATTTTTTTTTTTTTTTTTTTTTTTGAACGACACGAACGGCGTAGCTTTTAAAAAATACATAATATTAACAAATTAAATTAAAAATCACATAAAGAACATAAGCCTTTTTACGTGTAATTGAACCAGTAAGGATAATAAAGTTAAAAAATCAAATTGAATGTCTGTTAAACTGCATGTATAAAGTAATTGATTGTAATTTTCATAGATTTGACATTAGAGTGTTTGAGACTGAACTAATTATGCTATTAATGATACAGTTTATCTGCACGGGTGGTACGGCAATTCGTATGAAAAATTTTATAAATTCTATCGAGCCAGAATTGAGCAAGAAACTTAAAACGAAATTAGAAATTTGGCAGCATTCGTCGTCCCGTTATTCCATGTACAAAGTCGGACCTGTTCTTGCTGTAAATGTAGGTATTAACTTATTTATATATTGACAAAATTACTTGGGGAAAAAAAAAATTCTTATTGAGGTTTAAATTGGCATAATTAAGATCTTGAATTTTAGAAATTTAGAAAGACATTATCAAAGTCCTAATTAATCATTCACGTTTTTTGCATTTGAAATTATCACTTCTGCATCCATAAGAATTATTAAAAGTTCGTTTTTCGTCGTCCCTATATTACGGAATATATATTTTTATAAACCATTGTTTAATGTTTCCATCATATGCAGTTAACATTAAGTGAAGTTGAACAATATTTCACGAACTACGACTACGGTTTTCATTTAAAAACATTTAAATGCAAATGATTCTAGTCGTTAAATGAAGAAAAAACCAAATCAAAAAAAAAAAAAAAAAACACACATAATTTCACAGCATGGAATTGGAGTCCCCTCCCTGCAGATTCTCCTTAATGAACTTTTCAAATTGATGTATTACGCCAAAATGAAGAATCCAGTTATATTTAGAATTGGGACGTGCGGCGGCGTGGGCATTACTCCTGGCACTGTTGTTATAACAAACGAAGGCGTTGACGAAGAGATAAATCCATATTTCGTACAGGTACATTGTCCCTATAATCATCGATTCATACATTTTATCATATTCTATAACCAATTTAAGATTAAAATCTTTATAGAAAAATAAATAATTTCATCAATGCAAAGGTGTTATTTAATACCGTTTTCATTTTTAATCCTTAAGAGAAGCTAAAAGCAACTATCAGCAAATAATTTGTAAATTTTTTACTCTTGCTAGTGGAGAATCGACTAGAAGCTTGAACTGTTTAATAAATAATCGTGGGTATAATCATGAGGGAAATAGTAGGTATTACGTAGATTGTTTAAAAAAAATTTCCAGTAGTAAGTAAAATAATTTCAGCTTTAAAATTCAAAAAGTGTAAGTGCCTGCAGTCAAAATACAATGAGTATTTATTTTATATGTGGCTATACCACGACTAAACTTCACATTCTTTTATTGATCAATTGCTTTTAAAAGTTAACACAACGTACGTAAAAAAAATTGACTTTAAAGGTTGGAATACACATTATGCTTGTATGCTTGTAATCCCTACTCTTTTTGAATACCTTTCCTTTCAACTCTAATATTTATATTTGTCTTATACTGCCAATATACGAGAATCGATCATTTTGACAATTAAATCCGAATTGTTTCAATGATATGTGTCAATGAAGTTGTATTAATCTATCGACGCTTAGTTTATATTAACGAATTAAAGCAGAAATTAAGAAATATGAAAAGTTTTATACGTGCTCCTGCAATTCATTAATGAGTGTTTATTAATATTTATAATTATTTAATAAGATTAATTAATATGATTATTATAAGACACGTTTTTTTCATTCTATTTTCGTACTTTACGAATTTCTCAACTAGAAAACTTATTCTTGTGTTGTATCCTTATGTTATACGCGCACCTGTCAGTACCTTCGCAAAACACCTTTTATCTCTCAGAATAAGAGTGAGAACGAGGAAGTGGGATGACGCATTAACGAAATTAAATAGTCCAACAAAACAAAACAAGGCAAAAAAGAACACCGATAAGACTTTAAAATTATTGTCTAACTCAAACTAAATATATTTTGAAAAACTACTAAAAAGTGAATTACCATAAATAGCAGATCCATTCATAAAATTAATTTAAAAAGTCGTTTGTATTTAATGTTGCCGTTAATTCGCGAAATAGGTTGGAAAATTCGAAACATTGAATTTTTATGCGTTTTGTCACTAAATTGCTTGGAATGAAATTCTGTTGTTCCCTTGTAAAACACACGCGCGCACGCATACATGATACAAACTTACATACATACATACACGCATACATAACTCAACTCTAGAATACGAATGCTTAAAATTAGTAACCATCGATCTATGCAGTTTATAAATATAAAATAAACTTGTCAAGTAATATTATCGACGAATCCATATTAAATACCCGTTAATGACTTGAAATATTCATATTAACAAGCTTGGACTTTCCTCTCATAAATTTCAAATAACTTACAAATTGCAGCCGATCGTGTTTCATATGCTTTTCAATAAATGTTGCAAGCTTCGCTTGAATAACTGTTGAATCCTCGCGTATTACAATCTAAACGCAAATCTCATAACACAAAAAGACATTTGAAATTAATCGCTCAAATAAGTAGGGCAGCCGCAGGTTAAGCACTGCCGAATAAGGTCGGACACAAAAAGTCAGTAAACTCATATGGTCGCATTGAACTTCGAAGGTGGTGCTGGGCAAGAAGATTCATTTGCCAGCGACCCTGGACCGGCAGCTGGTGCGCGAGCTGAAGGCCCTCGTCAACTCGGACGACCCTTACGATACGATAATAGGCAAAACGATGTGCACCTCGGACTTTTACGAGGGCCAGGGTCGGCTCGACGGCGCCTTCTGCAAGCACACCATAGCCGACAAGATGGACTACCTGGCGAAGCTCCAGGAGGCCGGGGTCGTCAACATCGAGATGGAGTGCACAGCCTTCGCGGCACTCACCTATCAGGCCGGCATCAAGGCGGGCATCTGCTGCGTCGCTATGCTCGACCGCTTCAAGGGCGATCAGGTCAGGCCAACCTTCGACAATCGTTCGTAAATTTCTCAAATTCGTGGTCTGAGCTTTAATATTCATTGGCTGAGACTGTGTGTGCGTGTGTGAAAGGTGGCGGGGACCGGAAAGCCGAACCATTCGACGTTTGTCTTGCTTTAAGAGATTTTTGGAGCGTGGACGTACGGTCGCGTTGACGAATTAAAATTTTATTGCTGAAATTGTAGATTAGAGATGAAGTACTTTGTAAGTGATATTGGCGAACTGAATTTTAAGATTCAACGGGAATGAGAGAATTAAAATTGAATAATTATAGACTTGTTCTTTATAATCCAAGTGATCCAAGCTACATCAAAGTAAAAAAAATTGATAATTTTACGAATGTCGTAGTCAAATGGTAATCATTTAATTTTACAGAATTCTACTTCTTATTTTCAGATTCGTACATCGAACGAAGTACGAAAGCAATGGGAATTGAGACCACAAGATATTATTTCCCGTTATATATTGCGCCATTTATAATGAAAATCATTTGTTATAAAGGTCGTTTAAAGAATTGAACTTCTGCTCAACAAATACAATGTCTTCCAACATATTCGCAATCATGCTCGAAGCTGTTTATTATCTAATTAATTTATTCGTAATTGTCTAATAATCCTTTAAGATTTCGCCAAGATTTTTTAATTTTTAATTGCAAATAAATAGCCATTTATTTTTATTGCAGGTGGTAATTATTTTAGATTAAGCTGCTTATTGACGTTATTGAAGTTAAAGTTAATTAAAAATAAGTAATTTACTCTTTATTAAATATTATGATTTTTAATCTTATTAATCGTTATTGTCTACATTGATTTATTAATTCGAATCGTATTAATTTTTGCATGAAAACTGATAAATCAAATAAGTATATTAAAACAAAAAACAAAATTAAAATGAAGTTCTGTCACATAAAGTTTGTAATAAGAAAAAATGTTTGTAATATTTCGTAATTACCGTAACACACTTTTTTCTAATAATTATAACTACGTTTTTATTGACATCGAACAGTAAATTACTTTCAAATTTTAGAAACGTTTAAAATATTTATAAACTGTTACGTATGTAATAAATCGTTCGTAAATCAAAATCAGCTAAAATTTTGTCTTTGAAATATTTATTAAAAAGTCATTTGATAAACCCGATAAACTATTATTACCTTATAAATTTTATCTTATCTTTTTTTTTTTTTTTTTTTCATTATATAACTATGAAAGTAAAAATTACTATCAGCAATAATCAAATTTTCAACATTTCTGATCAATTTTAACATATTACAGTTTTTATCGATAATAACTGTCATTATAAATAATTTTCACACATACAACTGAAGGCAGATTAAACAATTTATTCATTCATAATATAAAATTTTGAATTTTCACAATTAAAAATATAAAGATTTGATCAAACATGCAATACCATCAATACCGGTCAAAAAAAGAAAACAATAGAATATTAAAGATAAACTGAATAATAAATTAAAAACTAATAAAGTCAACAGTCATAAAGTCGTAATATCATTTATGTAAAACAACAATAGTTAAATTAATATTCTGTTGAATAAATACAATGAACGTAAATTTTTCATTAACAATAAAAAATGATCAAATATTATAATTATTATACATAAACGAAGATTATTTGAAATATTAATTTTATTACAGATGAATTATATATTTATATTTTATTAATAAATTATTTATAAATAAGCTGATATTGAATGGCATTTGAGTAAACTTTTGAATGAGGTCAATAATTTAAATAAATAATAAATGGCTCAAATTTCTGTAATGCAGAATTTATTAAATTATCGTTTTAATGGAAAGTGAAAAATTAAAAAATAATTTTCTAAATTTTATTTCTTTACGGATAAAATGTACAGATTGGTATAAATATAGTACGAATTGTCAATAGCATAGATATTTTAGGTAACAAATACTGTTCTGTCGTCATACAACATCGAGTCTTAAAAAATCACTTATTCTTTAAAAAAAAATAAAACAATATTTAATATTATAAAAGCGATAGCTGCAAGTTACTGTTAATCAAAGAAATAATTTATACGAGGAGAAGATATAATAACGAAGATAAGCAAGTAGAAATAAGTAAATAATTATAAATGTATTTAATGCTTATATATTCTACGATTTTTTATTAGTTATATTTTTCATTATGTATGTTCATAAACTTTGAATAATGACTTAATGTTCGTGTATTGTGTAATTATGTAATTAAAAATTGGAATTTGATATACACTGTTATGTAAATATATATATATATATATATATATATATATATATATATATTTATTTATTTATTTATTTACGTGTTATTTATTTACGGAATCGTAGCGTCAGTTTCATATAGAATATATTTACTTATAACTATTAATGAGATGTTTTTTCTTATTACAATATGAGGATAGAAATTCACTAAATATACTATAAACTTGGTGATAGTTTTCAATTGCAGTAATGAAAATTTATTGAGAACTTAATTATATTATGTACACGAATTGAGCAAAAAGTCTAATATTAATTTTTTTTTTTTTTTTTTTTTTTTTTTTTTTTTTTTTATTAATAATAGACTATTATAATAGATTTTTTTTTCATTATTAATAATATACTTGTATTAATAATAATATAAGAAACGTAAAGGCTTTAAAAAGAGACAAAATACAATTTTTATTTGATGAGTTTATTACATGAATATACTGAGGCAAAATGTTGAAAAAATATATGAGAAAATTTGACTTTTTAAAATAGCGTTTCAATGAATGTAATAATTTTTCTAATTCAATATTTATAAGCTCTTAATTGTTTTAATCTGTAAGATGAATTATGTAGCTAAGTTTTGTAAACATTTTGCTCTGCATACCATTATGAATAATAACATAGATATAAAAACAGATTTTGCCTTTTATCACTGGATAAAACCGCAAACTAATATATATTTACTCTAATATCACAAACTATTTTTATTTTTCGCTGTTGTAAAAATAATAAATTACGGTTACATGTGAACGTTTGCAAGGTATCTCCTACGACGTTCTGTGCACACTGAAAAATTTTTTCCCATATTCGCAAGCATTCGTTTTTTCATTTAATTTTGTTTTCCTTATATTGGATAATCAATAGATATGACTAACTTTTTAGAAAAGTTGTGTTCTCTAGACCAATACTAAAAAATTTGTCAGTGTAGCAAATCTCGAACGTTATTTATCTATCCTGATTTTAATATAAAGAAAAAAAGTATAAAATCAGTTTTGTCATACATTTGTGTATATATATATATACATATACATATACATATATTATATTGAAATAAAATTTATATTTTTATTAATTTCATTGTTATATAGAGATAATAATTCGTTGCCAACAAAATGTGATAAAGGAATACGAATACATTTTATCACAAAAGATCTTACCTTTAAACATTGCGTCGCTATATTAGCAAACGAATAAGAAAAAGAAAAAAAGAAAAAGACTTCATAATTCGTGGATCGTACAAAACTATTTATATGGGGATAAATAAATAAGTAATGTTAATTTTTATTTGTGAAATAGATATGCACGCGCCATATTATTATATAGTTTTTTCAATACCATATAGTATCTTTTAAGTAATTCAGATGCAATTGTTGTTAAATAAAATTTTTATTTTATCTTCACTGAGCTATTGTTATTTTATTGTTTTGTGAAAGAACCATCGTATGATTTCCATAATTATTTTCTCAGTTAAAATTAATGAATGCTTTTCTGTCCATAATTATACTTCCATTTTTATCGAAACTAACAACTAAAGATATATTTACAGATAAATTAGTAAAAATTGTTTTAATAAATGTCGCCTTACATTATTATTATTATTATTATTATTATTATTATTATTATTATTATTGTTATAGTTTATATGATATTCGTAATGATATAATTGTTATGTGAAAATTAATAAAAACATTGTCTCTGGCAAATCATAATTTAAGTGTGAGTTGTGCGATTTTTCTGAGTGTACAAATCTTTATAATTCTTACTAAAACTACTTGCTTTCAAAAATCGTAGCAAATTGACAGAATTACATTCACGAATTTTTGTTGTTGGATTATTGAGACATTCGTCAAAACCAATATTCAATATTATTCATTTTGAATAAATTTCTATATAAAATATTCATAGTAATATGTAATATACAGTACATCATTTTGGTAAAATTATAGAATTAATTTTTTACACATACACTCGTGCTCACTAATTTTATTATGAATTTTCGTGTCGGATTAAATATAAACTAATGTTAATTGGCTTATGACTACTGTCAAAAAAAGCTATTTTTCAATTCAAAAAGTTTAATAATAAAATAAGCTTTAAACATAAGATAAAAAAAAAAAAAGTTTATATATTAAGAAATATATACCATATACTTATTGTTATGTTAATAGTTAATCATTAATAATAGAAAACAAATATTTTGCATTGACGTAGCAATTTTTAAGTTACATTACTCATTTTCAATAATTTTCTGTCCATTATAGATAAGGTTATGCGAATTAAAACTTTTGCCATGATTATATTTACGCTCTCGTCGCCGTACATGAACAATGGAGAACTTAATAATTATATTTGCCTTCGAATCAATAAACGAATAATAGAAAAACTTTGCATCATCTTGAATCTGACAATATTTTAAACTACAACAACATCACGACTAATTGAATTTAATACCTCGAATGAAATTTAATAATTTGAAAATCTATCTATCTCACTTTCTTTTTAGTCTTGAAGCCGTATTAAAGTGAATAACGAACTAATGATATAATATTTCAAATGTAATTTCTTCTGTAATTTCTGTAACGACGGAAAACTAAATGAGGTGATTAAATTAACAAATAAAGGCATCGATAATGAGCCTTGAAACTAATAATTGGAAGGAAATATTTAATCATTATTATCGTTGATAATGAAAATGTTGTCAAGATGGAGTTGAAGGTAAACAATATTAGAAATTATTTGGAATTGCGATGAATAAATTTCATTTCTCCTTGTCAATTTCCCTAGGCTTTTGTCAATTCTGGTAAATTGTAGTCCACCACATTTTACTTTTGATATGATTTATTGTTACGAGAATATATCTTTCATTAACAATAAAAGATTCTGCCATTATTTTTCAAATATTTTATATATTAATATTATCAATAGAATCGAATAGAATAGAATGTTTAAATGAAGAATCCCGAGTAAATTTATAATGTATCATTATAATTTTGTCTAAATTCATTTTGTCTAAATCATCAATGATGCATATGTATTCCTATGCAGTACGGTATATTACTTAATTTACAAATATGTCCATTTTATGTAGAAATATGTGTTCATTAATGAATAATATAATAAGACAATTTTTATAATATTATTGTGTAAAAATTGCGTTTCGTTTTCTCCTACGAAACTTAAACGCTGAAAAATTTATAGGAATGTGCTATATCACAAATCATTTTTTTGGCGTTTTTATTATTTATGAAAATTTGGGATTTGTATTAATAAACTTTCTCATGCAGAAAAAAAAATCTATACACCGGCAATTCTGCGTGTCTAAGAATAATTACTTATTAAACTGGATATTAATAATGTCGTTTCCACTATAAAGATCGTTTATTACAAAACGATTAATTCTGGACTTATTTATTTTTCATTCAATACTTGAACGTCATATTTTGTTAAACGTGAGATTATTTCTGAAATATTGGAGTTGCAAAAGTTGAATTATGATTACAGTTATCGTATATGTATATATGTTATGTATTTTTAAGGTCTAAGATCGATATGAAATGTCGTTTTAACATTAAAATTTGTTGTCAAAATGGTGAATATTATATCCAAGGTAAAAAAAAAAAAAAAAAGAAAAAAAACAACAACAATAACAACAACAACCTAACTGTCAAAGTTCCGTCAATGTCTAATAGTTCTTAAAAACGTAATTTACAAATTTCAAGTACCAAGGCTATTTAATTAATCATTACGAATTAAGAAATACCAGTACAATAATAATTTTAAGAAAAATATATATAAAAAGAGAGAGAAAACTTTCTATATTAAACTTATAGTAATTTCTTATTTTTTTCATTCCCGTAGAGATTTTAAACTTAAATAGAAGATGGTTAGATGACGATTATGGTAAATTACTTCCTATTCGTCTAATATTTCAATTTTACTAATTTACATTTTTTTTCGTCTTTTTTTTGTTTTGTTTTTCTTTTTGTTTTTGTTTTTGTTTTTTGTTTTGATTCGTTTTGTTTTGTTTTTCGCTATGTCTTATACATTTTGAATATCCAATATTGATTAAAAATTAATGATGAATAAAAGTCTGTATTTATTTGGCAATCATTAAATTCTTTTTCAGCATTCCTCACTTATCGTAGCGATAAGGATATGAGACAAAACTACTCTTGATAGGTGACTATTTCTAAACTGATACATTTTTTTTTCTTCTTCTTTTTGTTTTTAAACCTTTTACATGCTTCATAAATATAGATTCCTTTGTATAAAAGTAGTGACTTCATTTTCTTCAAACTAACTACTGAATCGAAACTATTGCCAAACTCTTGTCTCTTCAATTTCTTCTCTACGTTTAGAAAATATAATGTTCTTATCGTCATGAGTAATTACAAATAATTATCTAAATAAAAATATTCATTTTATCATAAACCGAACATTTGTTCATTTTGTATGAGAAAAATATGTTTTTGAAATTGGTATTTCCATACATCGTATTCGTATAGCCATGTAAATCACGGTTTTTTTTTCTGTTCTTTTTTTTTTTTTTTTTTTTTTACATAATCAAATACAAGATTGTCGCTGTGTATTTTGACTTACGAATCGATCGTGTAAGATAAAAGCTCTAGTTTTTATTCCATATGCATGACAAAGCACAAATTAAGTGAAAACGGTCTCGTCTACAAATACATTGGAACCAGCATTTACTACAAGCTGAGAAAATTTTTTTATCGAGTATCGCGTTTTGGCACGAGTAGCGATAATATCGCGCGATGCTCGCGCAAAAATTCAAATTTTATCGCCCGGAAAGCATCTTCTCTGTCATTAATCCGCGATTTTCGCGCCAATCGCAACGAGATTCTCGCCTCAACAATATCAGAATTTGGTTTATGTGCTAAGCACTTCGTTGCGAGCATTACACACGTGCATCGCTAACATCTCCTTCTCATTTTTGATCGCCGGAAATCAATAATCGAAAGCCACCGATGAAACGCAATATCGGCCATTCTTTTATTCACGACGACTAATAGCGCAATTATACGATTAGATTAGAATTAATACAACGTATTGTCCGACTTAGACGATAAATAGAGATTTACCCGCGAATCTCACAAGGCTCTACGAGCCTTCCCACATCCCTCATTCCATGCCATTTCCTACAAATTCATTACCCACCCTCGCATCAAACAATTCAATGTGTTTCATTTTTTAATCCATTATTGGCATTCTCACGTTCCTGAGAAGCTCTATATTTTCAAGTAGCAGCAATTTTATAAAATCTTTTCCCATTGATCCTCGCGATACAAGCATTTCACGTCTCACCGTGCCATTTCTCCTCGTCATTCGCTTTTAATCTCTATTTCATCTCTATTTAAACGCATTTTTCCTCGTCTCCTTATATCTACAAGACTAGCATCCTTCCGGATTGAATGTTCGTTGAAAATGTTTCTCATCTCCCGCTTCATGTGCACTTTACGTTAGCACGATAACGTTTGCCGTGATTGTCGTTATTTCAGCTCCGTTTAGCGAGGATGAACGAAGCAACGATCGCCTGGTCATTTTATCCACAATACAAACACCGACAATGTAGAAGTGCGAAATACAGTCGTCGTTCGAAAATTGTTAAATATCTCGGGCCTCGGGCTCTATATGCCTCACAACTACATGTATCGTCAAGTCATCTTTAAAGCCGACGTCAGGTCGCTCATTTACGACTATCGCAAATAAACCCGAATGGCGTCCCCTCGTATCGCCGTGACACTTCTTCCCAAGCAAAGATCGAACGTTTTCGTCCTGCTATCTGCCGGGGCGATCCCCGAGCCAAAGGTCCAATTATCGCTTGGTCAGCACAATCGAGGACACAGCTCCAGTTATCGTTTAGAGACAGCCTCGATCGGGGTACGCCAAATGATGATGCCTGTGCCCGGGCTGCGCAGTGGGTGTCGACCTGGAGCAGCTCAGCCGAGGGACTCGTCCGGGAGGACGATGCTCACGGACTTCCGACTGGGCTGGGCGGCTCGCTCGGCTGGACTCGGGGAGTCCTGGCGTTGCGCGGCTATCACGTCCCGAACCTCCGACTTCGGCGTCCCTCTGCTCTGGCTGTCCGGGCTGGTCTCCTCGTGCTTGGTCGAGATCGAGTTTGACAGCGATCTGGAATTAAGGGAAGCGAGTTTCAATGTAAAAATCCTTGTAGCAGCCCACCGTGCCAATAAATTTAATCAGCCTTCTGTCCATCAATTAACGAGCTTTATTTTATCAACGATTAAGCCATTGGTGGTGGCTCCTAGTCCTCGAGTTTTCTCACTTCAAATCGAATGATATTATTCGGAAAGTTTGGCTAATGAGTAAGAAATTTTTGAGTCACGGCACCATCTACAATTATGTTTCCCAAATAAAATTAAAATCGGAAAGAGGGGTGGAGAGACAACGATATTGACAAATGTCATTGTTGGTCTGCTGTTACGTCGTAGGCGTTATTAAAGAGGCGCCGATATTTTTCCCGATAATGTTGCTGCATATCTGCAATAATAATTTATTCTTCTCAAATATGGCAAGTACATAGTCAGCTTTAATTTGAAATAATGTCGCTAATAATTACGCCGCCACCGATCTATACCACGACGTGAAATATCTTGTGTTTTCTATTATTATTACAAGTCCAATAGACTCTATTTGAGACTTAAGCGTAATTATAAAATGCCCTCGTGAGTATTTTTTCCAGCCTTTTAAATTAGATCGTTAGATTATATTTATAATGATATTTAAACAGAAAAAGATGATACTTCAATTATGCTTTGTGAAATGAAAATGCACTATTATACGGTGGTAACAATGGGTTTTGAATGTCTTTAGTTTCCGTAATTGCGGCAAATTTAACGTGAGATAAGAGTCCAAGTTTTCACGGGAAATGACCTATTATATTGTCTATATTTATTTAATCGTTCTGCAGCCTATTTGAGCAAATTACAATCACTTATTATAAAGTTGTAGCCAAAGCACGCGAAAAGCCAGTAAAATTTCAAATGCAGGAAAATCATGTCGATAGGACTTTGTGGAAAAACATCGTTAAAAAAATAATTAATAAAATGAGGAAATGATTTAGAGCGATAATACGAGTCTTTTCTTTAGTATGTAAGTCAAAAAACAAAAACAAAACAAAAAAAACAAAAAGACAATTTGTGTCACTTGTCGAGCGTAGAAAAAGTGTTATTTCAATTAAGATATCTCTCTCTCTCTCTCTCTCTCTCTCTCTCTCTCTCTCTTAGAGAGACTCCCATTATCAGTGATCCCAACATTTCAATGTTTTATTCAATTAAGAGTAAAGTACTCGCTTAATGTGCCAAAGCAACAACGATGAGTTTACCTGTGTTGCGGCGGTGGAGTCGGCGTCCGGGAAAGTGGAAAACTCGCAACCTCCCTCGTGACAGAGAGCGATCTAATGGATCCAAAGGTCTGGTCGGGCGAGAGATTTGTGCCTGCGCTAATCTGCACCATTCCACTGCTAAAATTCACATAAAATCAGAATTCGCTTCTCACTATTTTCCGATCTCTTCCCCTCCCCCTCCGCCCCCAAAATCCATCGTTTTTATCAGAAGAATTTTACCCAACTTTTAATTATCACTAAATTCTAATATTTATAACATTTAAGGCAAATTAAATTGTTTAAATATTGTTACCATCTTGTTATATATTTTCGTTATTTAATTTAATGCCTTAATAAATACCGTTTAATTTGTATTTATCAAGATTAATTATAAAGAAAATTGGTAGAGCCATTACCAATTGTCATTACACATTTTGATTGTTGTTGGCGTCGTTGACTTTAATATCGTATGACCGCTTTCGACGTGATTGCCAATGTTATTACTCTTCCACTCAGATCGCCACCACATCCTCCTATCTTTCTCTCTCTCTCTCTCTTTCTCTTTCTCTCTCTCTCTCTCTCTCTCTCTTTCTCTCTCTCTTTCTCTTTCTCTTATTCGACTTAGCCAAATGTGAAGTGCAAGCCATTTTCGCCGGATGTGCGCCTGAATGCAAGCAAGCCGATTACGGCACAATTCTCGTCGACGAGAATCAATTCGCCTTTCGCCGCCGAATTACGTATCCGACAAGTCGAGTCGGCGTTCCAGTGTCATCCGTTGACAGATCAAAAAATCGTCCGTTCACCCATCAATTATGGAATCGAGTACTCAAGCTAATTTTGGTATTTCGCCCAACCAAGACGTTGGTAGTATAAAACTTGAATAATAGGATTGCCATTTACATCTTCCTACCACTCTCTTCCACGACTATGCTCCTTCGGGCCTCTCCCTCCCCTGCCAAGGCATAACAGCCCAATTTAATCCCATATAAGCGCTTTGATGCTTAAGTATCTTCTAAATCCTCGCACTTACGCTCTCAGGATACCCGTAGGTTCCGAGGCTCATCGATCAGTCGCCAACTAAAAGAGATCGCCTTCCCCGCGTAGCCTCCCCCTAAAATTATACATTCAAGAACGCACGCCTCTATTTATAGCGGCCCGAGGCCCGCGGGGACAGCCGGGAGAGTTTGCTGATAATCATTTCATCATCCGTCGGTCAATTTGTCCGGAAAAATCGATGCCGATGACGCATCGTTCCTCAACGATGAGACTCGTTTCGCTTGAAGCGACTGTCTTTAATGGCCGAGGTTTTCGCGGACCTTACGATTCGCATTTCCATCACAAGCTCATTCGTAATCTTAAGCCGACTCACGCGATTATTATTAATGCAAATCTCCCGGTTCTTAACAATGAATAATTGGCCTTTAATAGCCCAGGGAATGCAGAGGCATTTTCCATCTTCGAGGTGATTCCATATCTTCTTAGCATGAATAAATAAATATTCATTTAGGAATATTGGCAAATGGGGCGACAATCGCTTCCATTGAAAATTAATTGATGGATATTTAGGCGAACGCACACATTACGATTATGGCAACGATTCTACGTGAAAATTTGTTGATCTGAACATTTTTCCGTCCACTTAAGGCGCAATTGATAATCGACTGCTCACGAGGCTATGCAATTTGAATAATAATTTATATTTTTCGCGAGGCTCCCCCCAACCCTGCGGACGATTGAAATGGAAGGGGAGCGCGGCGTAACGGGCCAGCACAAGGCTGCGGCCTTCTTACCTCATGGAGCCCGAAGTGACGAGGAAGGGCATCGGCGTCGGACAGGGACTGAGGGGCGAGCTGCTTACGGAGCTCCGGGTGCTGCTGAGGACCGAGTGCGGGCACTGAGGCGGACCCGAGCGGGCGCCGAGCTTTGAGTCGCTGCCCAGCGAGGCCCTACCCCGGAAGCAGGGGATCTTCGTCCAGCCGCCGACGTTTTTACCTGGAAAAAGCAAAAGGAGCGCAACAAGTGATTAGACCTCGAGACGATCTCATAAGGACGATTAACGTGGGCCTTGGTAACCCTCATACTCTTCGACGTCTTCCTTTATTTACTCTTGTCACACTAGCCACCTATCGGCAAAAGAATAATTCACTACGAGACGAGTCAGCCAAGGTGCTGACGTCGGAATTTGACGCTTTCCCGCTGCTTTTTCACTCGCACGTAATTGTAAAATTACGATGAAAAATTTACCTACGATCGCGATGTAAATGTGTAGAGATGCGATTGTGCGTGCAGTTGAAAAGTTAATTTATCTAGATTGGAAGGAATTAATCAGTATCATTGTCTTTACATTCGTTACTTCTATCGCGCATGAGAGGCTCGGTTTTCTTATCCTCGCACGCTCAATCTTAATCTCTTACTAGCGTGTAAAATGAAAAAGAAAAAAAAAAGAATAAGGAATCGAAAGAGTAGCCAATTTGATGTCTAATTGCACTCGGCTTAATTGTATCGAATGAATAAAAATTTAGGGGCTCGTTTATTATTATTATTATTATTATTATTTGCTGCTGTTGCTGTTGTTGTTGTTGTTGTTGTTGTTGTTGTTGTTGTTGTTATTGTTAAAAGAATGTAATTTGTCGATCGATTTTCTAGCATTATATCTTTACGTACTTAATATTCCAATCTCATGGATATTTGTAATTATTAAATACTACAAATCTTTAATATAATGAGCTGCACTAACGACTCTAATCGGGCAGTTTTCCATGGCATCTATCGAATAAACGCTATTTATAAAAAAAAAATCCATGCTCTTATTCGTATGGATATTTCAAAAAGGTTATTAAACTTTAGAATTGCTCGATTGTGTTTGTATAAGTTTAGACGCGTAATTAATTATTAAGTGCAATAGTTAAGCGCGATTTTCCGAACGACTAAGAGTGGTGCGTAATAGCATTATTACTTTTGTGTCATGAATACTCGAGCGTAATTTCAACGATTCCATGTTCCCGACTGGATTTTGTAATGTTAGTGTTGCCCCGAGTTAAGTAAACATAATCTGCCTCGTAACGCGCGGATGTGCCGAGTAACGTCGAGTTTAGATGACGTTTCGCGTTTTATCAAAATCAAGCGAAACTCCTTTAAAGACTCGTTTTGCTGAACACGCACACGCCCATCAAAATGGACACCGACGTGGAATAAAGCAAGTTTTTCGTAAATTGGCGGCTACCACCGTCCCGTCCGTGCACAACCAAACGGCGGCGCTTAATCTTATTTATGGAAGTGAGGGCCTGTCGTTGACTAAGAGACTGGGCCGACCACTACGATAATTCTATATTCTTGCATTAGCCTGAATTCAGACAATCGGCTTACTTAGATTCGTTAAGATGTCGGCCTAGCCTCGTTCTAAATTTTCACGTTCCCAATCTCGAGTTCTGTTTTAATGATCGTATTACCGTACCCTTTCGTGTAAAAGTACAAAGCGAATAATAAATTTAAGAAATTTGTTATGCCAATATTAATTACACGAGGATTTCGTAGGTAATACTCGAAAATATCGTGACTTTGAAGGATTTGGCGGGACCGGGTAGGATGGGGAGGGGGAGGGGAGGAATGATTTTCTATTTTAATGCCCAATGTCATGGTCATTGGATATCCAATTAAATATTTCGTATAGTTTTAACAATAGAGCTATAACGATTCGCAACATTTCTTTTTTTCATCAAATCTGATACTCGCAGTTTACCTCTGTATGCATTGAATGGGATTGATCAATTATAAAGATTTACATGTATTTTCCATTGACTTTCTAGATTTCTGCCAGTTAATATCACCAAGCATCTCCCACATACATGATTCATCAAAAAAATCAACTTTGAACTATAAAACATCAACTACAAGTGCAATAATAAGTTGCAACGAGTCCACATTAGCATCCGATATAAGTATGTCAATAATATATTATACTGACACGTACGATAACATCTAGAAATTTAATAAAAAAAATGGATCACGCATTTTGGCAGTCGATGATAATTTACGTTTATGGCACTCGCGCATAAAATTATCAAAAATGAGGCAATGCGTTTAAAATGTGAAGAAAAATTGTTTCCCCCTCTGTGAACGAAGCTAATTTATTCATTCGTTTAAAAATTACAACATTTTTTGAAAAATATTAGTCACACATTATGTAAAGAACTCATTCTTTTTGCTTCGATGATAAATTTTGATTTTAATCGATAAGATACAGTTGTTTGACTGAAATTTAGGCTCTAGACTAACATTAAATTGCATCGCATCTTTAACGATGAACATTCCTTGATAATTGTTCAAAAATATTTTAAGTTTTACATAAATTTTATAAAGTTGAAAGTTTTACTAATCATATTGCATTATAAATATAAGATTTCATTTTGCCAAAATAAAATCATTCTCCTTACTTATTTAATCACTATATATATATATATATATATATATATATATATATACACGTGTGTGTGTGTGTGTGTGCGCGCGCGTGCGTGTGTGTGTGTGTGTGGGTGGGTGGGTGAATTATACTAAATTTTCTTTAAAGTAACTAAAGCACCATTTAGGTAGAATTCCAAAAAATTTAGGAGAAATTAAATCCGATAACTATCGGTAAAATAAGAAAGTTTCACGTTGAAAGGCCGCAATTCCAGTCCAGATAATTGACATTCTATATTTATGTAAGATTTTGATAAGCAAAACAATACTACCGATAATCTGGCGAATGCAAAGATTCGCTTAGTCTAGCACAGTACAATCATTATTCAATGTTTGTTCAATAGTAATGTAAATTGAGTCGATTCAATGTCGTGAACATTAAGGATTATAAATCCTATTATCTCGTAAACAATAAAAAGACATGCTACTTTCACAAGTAAAAAAAAAAATAAATAAAAAAAAAATTCATTCGTATGTTTTGTCTCGAATCGAATTCAACTTTCAATTTTCATCAAAATGGATAAAATTGATGTAATTATTTGCCATTTCATTTTTCCATTGTATTTCGAGTCGCAAATTTTTATGCGCCTAACAACATAGTTATTAAACAGATTTAATGATAAATTATAATCGTCTATCATGGAAAATATTTTTCAAATTAATCGAATCCTATTTACATTTGTTGAATAATCACAATGTATCCATTAATCAACTAATGAATGATACGATAACGTTAAATAATAGAATTTTGCTCTCCAAGATTTCTAATTTCATTAAAGATATAAAACATCGTAATGACTACCGATCATCGATAGTTAAATTACAATTGCACACTACCGTACAAGTACACTCATGCACATACTCGTATACATGAATATTTTTCAATAAAGTGGACATTGTTATCTTATCAAGCTATCCATCTAAAATCACTTCCCAGCTAATTGTTCTCCTATTATTCGCTTCGGAGAGGCCAAATCTCTCAGCCGGTGATTAGTAGTCGAGCACGCAATTATGAAAATTCCGCTTGAAACGACATTTGAATTTCAAGTCGAATTAAAAAACATATCTGGCTCGGTAGCGTACGTAATGGAGCACGCGCGCGCACGTAATTTAACGAGAGCTTTTTCCACGCCTGTAGTCGGACTTTTTCATTTGACCTCATTAGCGTACGACAGCGCCATTACAAAAGCTTCGAAGCAGTCGTCGTTACGTTACATGCACTGCCATGGAAGCGCGCGCGATTGCGATTGCGACGAGAGAGTGAGATAACGAGTCATTAGTTTTCATGAACCTTCATCGAGCTCTGTCATTGTTAGCAGAAGACACATACAACTTGGAAATGAAATTTCAATTTCGCGTGCTTTTAGATTGGAGAATTATTGGGCTTCCAGATGCGAGGCCGATTATGTAATTATTTTTGGGCTTCGGGTATTCAGAGGAATCATCGTGAGACGCAAAAATTAAATTCGATATGATTTCGCTTTAACATTTTATCCAAATATTATCGTTTTTTCGTTTTGTTTTTATTTTTTATTTCTTCAATATGTAATAGCACTACATTATGTGAAAGTATAGTAGGAATCTTAAATTGTCGTATATAGACAATTTCCATATTTTTAAATAAATATCGTTTAAGGTAATAGTTGTTAATGATATTTTCCATTTGTGTCATTTAGAAAATCACAATGTCTTGACGATCGCGTAAGGCATAAAAATTATAGACTATTATAGCTTCGTGTAGGTAATCGTAATCTTGATACAAATGTAAAATCTAAAAGAAAAGTATACACGTTTATTCTCGTTACTCTCTTGTTTGTTTTGTTTTGTTTTTTTTTGTTTTTTGTTTTTTTTTTTTTTTGTTTTTTGTTTTTTTGTTTTTTTTTTGTTTTTTGTTTTTTTGTTTTTTTTTTTGTTTTTTGTTTTTGTTTTTTTGTTTTTGTTTTTAGATTCACTTTTATATTGTGTAACATAAGAAAATACCATTGGAATTAAAATAGGCAGTCAGTTTCTGAAAAATTAACATTCGGCTCTTTATTCTTATTATTCTCGCCTCTACGGCAACTTTCGACAATAAATTATTATCTTATGAGAACGAAATGAGAACTATAAATAACGTAATAGTGAAAAATGTTAAAAGTCGCGTATAAAAAGTTAAAACTAACGATGAAACTAAGCTTAGTTAGTAATCAGATATACCTTAGAAAAATAGTTATAGGTATAGGAAAATCGAATGTACTTGTAACCAAGGAGATGTAACTTTAACATGCATTCTTATATTAATTGTGATAAATTGTTGTTTGTTTTTGTTTTTGTTTGTTTGTTTTTGTTTTTGTTTGTTTGTTTTTGTTTTTGTTTTTGTTTGTTTGTTTTTGTTTGTGTTTTCTTTTTATAATTTCGACTAAAAATATACTTTTAATGAGAATCCCTTACTTATATAACGATTCGTTAAAGCAATTGGTGTTACTTATTTATACAAAGAAATATCGAAAGCTTTCATTACATCATCATACTTTGCATAATATCAAACATTGTCATCGAAAAGTTTCATAAAATTCCTTTCTAAATGCTAAACTTTCTTATAAAAGTTAAAAATTCATGTATATATATATATATATATATATAGGTGTTTGAATACTTATACAGTTCAATCGCAGTTAATCATCTGTCGCCTTATGTTGTAGAATGCGCAAAACGAGCGCAATGATAAAATGCACAAATTACGACGCATTGTAGGGTAGTCGTGGAAGGGGCATCGGTTTAATCATCTCCTCTCATTTTCTTTCAGCACCCGCAAGGAAGAAAGGTCGCGCGACCGTTTCCTCGAATTTATATTTCGAGGTACATCCTAACGCATACGCTCGACCCTGTGACGCGTTTATGTTTCGCGAAAACTGCGCGTCTGTCCGTTTGTGCGCGCGCTGCGTGGGTGAGCGACTGTGCGAGGAAAGGAATGAGTAATACACTCCGCGACCGCTTTGACTTTGGTATTCCGTTAAGTTCATTCCATCTCGATGTGGGACAGCGGCGGCATTGCTCGGATTCTCCATTTTCTTCTTCGTGTGCGCACACGTCCGGAGACTTCCGTAATGAGAACCCTATCGGCAATAATCCGTTTATGCTGCTCGTTTCTTCGAGTCGGAGAAGCGAAAATATTGGTTATCATTATCGTCCATTGATGTGATTGCGTCCTATTCCGTTATGATTTATTAATTGAATAAGCGAGTCAATGTAACGATTAAGTGTTGCTGTTACAATTTGCTCTTTAATATTTGTACCGCCTAGATAATTAATGTATTGGTTTATGTGACTTGTGCAACGATACAAGTACAACAAGGTAAAGGATATTCCGAGAGGAAAATAGAAGTTTCGAGCATAATTTTCGGTTATTGCTTGGAAGTATAAATCGCGTTCGTATCAGTGCTGCAGGATGAATTTATAAATACTACTTATAACCGTATATTGAATAAAAATAAAAATTTTACTTGCACCCGTAGAATGAATAGCGATAACTTGTAATGTGCAATAATATTTATATGAAAGAAATAAAAAGAGAAAAAAACGTATTTTTTTAAAAATATTTTCAATTACATTAAAGTCTTTGAATTGTTAATGATAATGGATAACAGTGCGAATCTTTGCCTTAAAAGCTGTTATCGATTTAGGTTTGTAATTAAATTTAGCACTAAATAAGTAATAAATATACCAACAAAATAAAGCAAAAAAAAAAAATATATATATATATATATATATTTATATATATATCTAAATATTTATAATCTAGCACTTATAAAAGAGAAAATCGATCAAAAGAGTAAAACCATTTTTATGTTTGTTTTTGTATATGTTAACGCTCCTTCCTTGTGAAAAGCAACAACAAAGACAGAGAACAATTTAATTATCGGATAATTAGTGAAAAATTCTCTGCTACCATTTTACGATGTACAAGCGGAATTAAATAATTATTTATGGTTCTTATATTGCATAATTAAAAGCTGTTATCGTCCAGAGTATTTTAAACACTTTAGCTCGTTAAATAAACCTGTTTCGAATGAGAGAAATGCTCGGACATGAGAAAACTCAGGCCAAGATTTAAAGAACCTTACTTTCCTAATGATCTTTGTTTTGGATAGAAAGTTATATTGACTAGATAAGTTGTATATTTGCGAATAGATTTCTCTAAGAAACTATTTGAAACTAACTGGAAGGCATTGATTTCTGCAAAACTACTTTTCAAAGTAAGGATATGAAATCTTAACCCATTTTAAAGAGAGTTTAATACGACATTGAGCAGCAGTTGTAAAAATTTCATATTAAAAGTCACGTCGGAAAAGTGATTAATTAAAGAAAGGGGAAAAGCCAAAGAATGATTACTTTGGGGTTCGGAAGTCTGCATAAATATCAAATTGACGTTCGGTATAAACTCTGCCTCTAAAATTGCCTAACTTTGATTTAATTAACTTTGTCCCAACGTACGTGAAAGTAATGAGGAGTAAGGTGGAGAATATCTAAGGTCTTGAGCATCAAATACTTAGCAGATTGAAATTTCTCAACAAGAGTTCATCCGAGCATTTTCCACTCAAAGTCCCGTTATTGAGAGCGCGGCTCGATAAGACCAAATATAATTACCGAGATCGAGGGTCACCGAATAATAAGCTAATAATAAAATTACGTCGTAATATCACTTCGATATGCCATTTGTATTCTTTTCCTTTTATAATGTTAAATGCTTTTCAACTTCCGTCCACGATATGCCTGTCGCGTGTGTGTAATCAATTCATCTCGTTAGCTCAATATTTACTCGTATATATTTATCCAACGATTTTCCATCTCGCTGTTTCCTTAGCGTGCTTTCTCCGTGAAAGTGAGAGGGCATCGTCTCAGCCGCGAGATAAACAAACATCCCCTCCAACTGAGGAGACCTCGGAGGTCCTTTACAAGCGGCTTAGAGGCAAACCGATCACGCCCCTGTCGCTCACAACGTACCAGAATCAGGCAAACCAGTCGCATTAGACGCACCCTATTGCCAAGGATTCCGTAACAATAGCTATTCCATAATAACTTACCAATCATTTTGGCGCCCTGGGCCGGGCTTAGAGGATAGAAGTCACCATGAAGCGGACAGTGGAAGCCGACACGTCGCTCCCGTCTTCTGGCACGTCGCGTCAGGGCACAGAGGAGCGCCCCGAGGCCGAACATGAGTGCGCCCACGACGATACAGATTGGGCCGAGGATGCGGGAATTGCCGGTAAAGGCTATCCGAGCCGCGTAAGAGTCCTTGTCCTCGTCCTCGCCAGGGCCGCGATAAGAGGCAGCTGAAATAATCGAGTCGGCTTGTTATTCGTTGGTTGCGAGCACGCTTCGTTCGATTCTGCATTTTATTCGATGGGATTTACTGCTGTTGGAGGGGGGGTGGGATGGGCAGAGGAAGGATTAACATTAATGTGAAATAGCGCAGGTCACGCAACGTTTCACTTTTCCATTTTCATCGTGGAAATAGAAAGTTTTTAAGCTAATATCTCCCGATATTGTCATTGGCACGATACTCTCATTAATCAATGGGCACATCTCACGTTCTGTTACTACTATTAAACTTTATTATTATTATTAGTTTACCGAAGGTAAATAGAATGATAGTTTCCAGAAAAACGAATTTAAATGATTTAAAAGATGTCAAACACGAAGCCGAAAGCATTAAAATATGGTATACGTAATTTTCGATGGATAACACGAGTCTAAACAATTTTTGACAGTCAAAACAATAACTTGGTTATCGCGATATTAAAAAGCACGGAGATAACATTGAGTGAAAAATCAGTATAAAATTTAATAAATATTTCGTTTAAAGGATAAATTATTTATTACAAATTTTCTCTTCATAATGAAATGTAAATTTTAATTAAGAGCTCACTTAATTCCCTACATTAATGTAACACATATGTTGAAAAAATAGAATGAGATGATAATGATGAGAATTAAAGTCACAGATCTAATAGTTATTGTTGATAATTCAAACAAATTGTTGGCAACTTCAATGATAATTAGCGAAAACGTTAGACATAGCATAAACTTTTAAAGGTTCTATTTGTATTTATCGTCAATATTTATAATAAAATTGTTTCTATCTATTCTAATGCTTAATCTATTACAATTAATTTAAAAATACAATAGTAAGAAAAAAACCAAAAAACAAAAAAATGAGACTGACACGCTCAATCTAAATAATCAAGAAGATTATTGTTATTGAGATGGTAATAATAATTATAACTTTCTACTTTTTAAAATTACGGGAAATAATTCAATAGAAAAAACATATTTAGAATTGATTAGAAATTGATGTGTTAAATGTTGTATAATTGAAATTAAACATCACAAAATCATTCTTTATTGGCAATTAAGAAGCTGTGACTTGCGTTTAATAGCATTGCCGCCTATGGAAATACAAATCTATGCTTAATAAAGTTGAATATAATCTACTATAAAAAGAATGGTATTGGAACTTTTAATGTCACTATACAAGAGAATTAAGTAGAAAAAAAAGAATAATAAATAAAAATCACTAAAAAACTGATCTTGAATTTGTTTTTGTTTCAGTAACTCATTCAATAACTCTAAAGTATTATAATAAATAACGAATTGACAATGTAGATACATATGCATATATATATATATATATATATATATAGATATGTATGTATATATGACGTAGGATTATATTACTATTTTGTCTATTACAAATTATTCGTTTATTTCATTTCTATTAGCATCTATTAAATTTTTATATTACATACCCTATGTCGGCAGTAATGAAAATTTAATGCATTCTTCATCAATGAGCTTAGAAAGAATAATAAATAAGAATTATTATTAACAGGGGTAAATAATAATTATACCTATATAAAAATATACTGTATGTGTAAAATGTAAAATGTACTGTATCATTTGAATGTATTTATGTAAAAATAACAAATTACGCACTTCTTTCTTTACGTTTATATTTATTAATAGAAAGTATTGAGACATTTTTACTCTAATATTACTTGAAGTAGAAGTTTTTATTATCTTTTTACTCGTATACATTCCTATTATATGCTTAACACATCATTATTGTGTTCGGAAAAAAAAAAAAGAAATATATAAACGGAAAATTTTTTTATTTCATTTAAAATACTCGAGATTTGTCGTAGTCGTGTATGAAAAGTATACCACAAACGTAAATTCTTATTATATAATTTGTTCAATCTATGCAATGTAAGTTTATTGATAATTAACAAACAAATATTATCATTTATTATTAAATAACATACTTTTTATAGAAATTGTCATCTTGACCATGAAAAATTGCCTATGCAGGCTTTCATATTCTTCAAAACTAAAGAATAATATTACTAAAATTATCCCCAGATCGTTACAAATCGTCGTTTGTTAGTATTTACATACGTGATAACTATATGTTTAATATTCATAATTATTCGATGACGTTTATTTACGAACCTTTTGTTAAAGTATTAGCCTTAGTTTTAATAACAATAGTATAATGCGCGTTAAAAAATAATTTCCATTCGACTGTAATCAATATTAAAATTAAAACCCTGGCCAACCTACGTAAATGAAAAATCAAATTAAAAAAAGTTTTATAAATGTTTTGCCATTATAATATTGTTAAGAAAATAGAAAATAAGTCTTTGTTAAAGTTGGCGTAACTGTTGCACAATTTTTCCAAATATCCTGAAATTAATGGAATTGAAAATTTTTCAAATTAGAAATTTGAGAACTGCATTTCTCCTATCAATACCCTATTTTATAATCCTAAAATAAATTAAACAATATTATTAAACATTAGGACTCTTACTTATTGTGTTTCTCACTTTTATTTATCTAAATATATATATACCCATTAACTTATGACTGGATATCGCTCGTTCATCTTAACAGTCAATTTGATCTATTTATTATAGTCGTGTTTAGAGTGCATCCAACACTCCGAATAATAATCTCTCCAGAATTTACGAGCACAATTTCCCGAATATTAAATAATGCAACGAAACGCCCGTGTTTAATAAAATATGAGCTCGTTTTTCCACATACGAATAATTATCTCATTACATCTAGCAATAATTCAGATTGGAATAAGCAGATTCGCGAAGTTTCGACTGCCCGTCGGAACGAAAATTATAAAGTAAGCAAGAAATTCCGCCGTTAAATCCCACGTAATAAAAGATTCCGGCGTAACAACAGTGGCTCATCACCAATGCTAAAAAGACCGCGTGGGCCCCGAATAGAGTCCCTAACGACCCCCTCCCCGTTGTTACGGATCATCGTCCCCGCGATAAGCCGATTACCGAATCAAGCGTCGGTTCAACGCGTAACAGCATCCAACGAGTCCCGGACTTTTATTAATCATCGTGACTCAGAAATTCAAAAGAAGCTGTTGTCCAGCCGCCAACGCACATAAGGTTTCTCCCGACCGACTCCCATGGCTTCCTCGCTCGCGCTATTCTCCAGAGGATATTGCCGCGTGCCACTAGTTTTTGGCCGGGTCGATCTTGGTGGAGAGAAGGAGGCTCTTCCTATTACGAGACATTTTGATTCGCGATAACGTTGCGCGTCGTCTCGTCGTGGGTTCTTCTTCCCTCTTCCGCCACCTCTATTTACCGTCAAAGGAAGGCTGCGCAGGTTCGCGCTTCTCCGTAACGCTGCCCCCCCCTCCGCTCCTTCCGCTCCTCACTCACTCTCTCTCTCTCTCTCTCTCTCTCTCTCTCTCTCTCTCTCTCTCTGTCTTGCGAGCGAGCGCTCGGCTAATTATCGTCGATTATCTCTCGCTGCATAATCTAATAACTTTTGAATTCGTAATTGATCTACTTCTTTATCGTGCGCGTCGAACTACATTGTCATTTGTCGTACGAACCGACCCTATTTATCGTATCTTTATATTAATAATTTATGTTTATTATAAACGACGGGCCGGGCAAAGGCTGGACTAGAATATTATCTGGATGAATCATCAGTCGAGTTTGGGCTCAACGTCAAAGTTGGGCTTCTGTTCTAGCCTCTCTCTTCATTAAATCGCTTGAATTAAAGAAATTTTGTAGGTCTCGTGGTGGGTGCTCAGTCATTCGTTATCTTAAAATAATCGCGCGAAGGAAAATGTTAACGCCGAAAGGCCCACACCACTCGTCTCAAAGATCCATGCGGTGCAATTGCAGTATGGGCTATCGAGGCAGGGGGAGGTTCTTGATAAGGAGCAAAGCCCCTGAAGGTGCGGCTAATACGTACCGGTGAGGACGGCGCCCACGAGGACGAAGAGGAAGCCGAAGGCTGGTAGAGCGATTTGACAGTTGGCGGCCACGACGACCCCGGCCACCATCAGACCACCCTCGATCTTCTCCACTCGTAGCCGCGAGATCGAGGCCGGGCATTTTAATTTGGCGCTGAGTCCACCGTCGTTTAGTATTCCTTCCTCTGGTGATGCGTTGTTGTAGGGCCTACAACAAGAGCGGGACGAGCCCGAGTTAATTTACGACGTGGCGCTGGTCGTTGCTTTATTCTCGCTTTCTCTCACGCTCATTTCTAGACTCGTGCACTCGCTTTGAGACATGTGGGAGAGAGGAGGCGCGCGAGCGATACTTCCTCGTCGTCGTCGTCGTCGTCGTCGTCGTCGTCGTCGTCGTCGTCGTATTGGAAGTTTGCGATTCCCGATTCTCGGAATGGAGACGCATTTCAGGGGAGACGACGATGGCACTTGGGATGAGCTGATGCTCGAGTCGTATATATGCATTTTATGTTGTATGTTTGAAATAAGGAGAACGAGAGGGAGAGCGTGACGAAGATAAGTGGGAATACTATTTTTTTTCTTTTTTCTCTTTTCCTTTTATTATTATTTTAAGAATCTACTTTAGCTACGAGATTATGCTCTTTGGTTTCTATAATAAGAAGTGTTTCATGGGTCGTGTGGTCGGATACGATAAGAACAACAATGCGCTCTTTTTGTCCTCGTGATGTTCTCTTCAATCCTGGATAAATTATATTATTGTCTATTGTCTATTAATCAAAGTGGTCGTGTGTATGTTTTTTTTTTTTTTTTTTTTACTTACTGTATTGACCTAAATGAAACCCTATTAATATTGCTTATATTTTCTTGTAAACCTCATTATTGAACGAAAATGTACATAATGTAACGAATTATTGTTAATAAAAGTATGGCTTTTGTCGTGAGCGATCATTCGAATTTGTCAATTCATAATCGTTGCATTTTCATAAAGAAATAATAATACAATTCTTTACTTTCACTGACAATTCAAATTAATCCTATTGTTCTATTCGATGTATTTTACTCTCGTTAGTTCGCCCTCGCACACTTATTATAGCCCTTTCTAACCAACTATAACCATTGTAATAAACAAAATCGAATCATTGTCACTGGGAAAGAATGTATTAATTATATTAGCGTATTGCGGATACGGAGTGCGCAATGTACCGCAATATTTCCTCAAGTCCTTTAAAAAATTATAAACCATTATATCATTATCCTAATTTGCCGACGAATAAATACAAAAATCATCATATATAGGAAAAATATTATAATTATAATAAAATCCGTGGTAAAGAGATTTATAAACTCTGTTAAAACTGCATCATACGAGGCTGTAAAGTTTATGAGCGCGCAACTGTATTATATATTTAATGGGTAAATGACCAACCATGGGTAAATTGAATCAACCCTCAAATGTAAAATTTCACTTTGATAGATAAATGAACTCGCTAATGTTAGCTGCGATCTATTCGTAATACCTCGGCAATGTAGACCGCATCGATTATTCGTAATACTACTGAGAATTTATATGCTAAAGCCAATGCTATTTAATACGTATTCATTTCCATGCTCGGATATCGCGAGAGAAAAAAGAACATTTTTCCACGCATTATTTAATTACGCGTGCGACTCGAGATTTTGACCAACGGTCTTGGCCACATGGCGTGGCATTGTTATCGGCTCGGATCGTTAATTTTCATGGAAACTAACGCACTGCAAATTATTTTTATATTACTGAATCCGAGTAGCACGTGCAAACGAGGAATGTGTCTGAAGGTCTTCACGATATTCCGTGAAATTGCAGTTCAAGCGCTCTTTGTCACTTTTGAGATAAGAATTACTGCGTCCCACGACGACTTTATTATTAGATTAGTAAAAAGTGAAGCTTTAGTGACTCAGTTGTGAGAATATTTTGGTAATACATTTACGCGCGCACGCGTTATTCAAATTTCATTATCGTGTTAAAGCGATTCAATATTATATATTATTGTTTTAATCGATAATAAGCCGTTATTAAATTCGACAACATTCGATTATAAAAATTTACAAATAAAAATACCGCCTCGTATAATAATATGCTTGATAAGATTAAGTCTTACTCACCATGTAATGTCGATGAGTTTGAAAAAATGAATTGCAAAAATCTTATTTTGTGGTGGGATAGTGTAAACGAAACATTTTATAAGTATTAAATAAGCAAGACAACGCAGAGGAATATTTAAACTAATATTTCCAATACAGGAATATGTTAATTGATTGGAAAAATTTACTTTATGTTACCGCGTACATATATATATATATATATATATTCCGTCGAGGGGGCGGGACGAGGAGGAGGGGAAAAGAGGGGAGGGAATGTAAAAATTGATATTTCGTTGTGATGAAAAATAAGTTATATAATATAATGAAAAAAATATAATATACAAGCACTTGGGTTAATATGACATTTAATATACTATTGTTTTAAAGTCCATTGTTGCTTATTAACTTTGAATCCCCGATTGTGTTTACTAATTATTCATAAGCCATAATAAAATTAAAAAATAGTATTCATTTAATTTAAATCTTAAGCGTCGATCCATAAACTTTGAATTTTATAACTCTAACACGCGAATACACAATTTAACATAATTCTTATATACTCAAACTCGTTCAATGATCAGTGAAGTCTAACGAAGCCAAGTGAATAAATCCGATTCACATGGTTAACAAATATCGTAGATAAATTAATATCGACAACATTAAGTTTTATTACGAGCGTCCATCGAATTAACATTGAAATTAATTATATGCAATGCAATAATTATACATAAATTAAAGACTTTATTGAGCGAGTAGTTTTCTTTTCAATACCCAAACTAACTTGTCGAGGTTTCTTAAATAGTGCATAAGCCAAAAGCTACTTTAAACATTAATAAATATCAATATACCACTACAACACAAATTTCACCTCGTATATAAAGAAAGTAGTTGTAAGCGGATGAAATAAAATTTGTGTTCGTTAACTTACCGCATAACTTTGCAAATTCTTCCGGCGTAAATCGCGTCCAGTGACTTTCGCGTAAATGAAGTTTGTGCAAAAAACTGCGATGCATCTTACACATGTACATTCACTCATCGACCAAGATAAAAAGTTTGTAAAGTATGTTCTCAGTATTATTAAACAAAAAGCGCTTCCGATGGCGCCACAAAGATGGCAAATTATTATTATCATGGCAATTATAATTCGCTACATGTCAACGCATTTGTTTCTAGGCGCATGACTCGCGTATGTTTGTATGCGTGTGTGCGCGCTTATGTATATCGTATTGATAAACAAGTACGTTAAAATGTGTTTTTCTTTACATAATTTAATGGAATACGAAGTAAAAATGTATTAATGCCCGGAAGCTCTTATCTGATACGTAAAAACGTAATAATTGTGGTGTATACGCAGAGAAATTTTTTTAATAAAATTTCCATTCTCATTATCGTGATAAACGCATATCTTCGGATTTTTATTAACAAACTTGCTTTATCAATTCTTAAATTGAACAATATTCAAATAACATGGAAATCTTTGAATTATGTAACATGCTTTGTAAGTAAATACGAGCTAAATCAATATTAGATAAAGTAGTTAATAATCTTAATTTATATTAAATAATATCTTGTGATTATTAACTGGATTACTGGAATACGCAATTATTCAATTCTTTTGTAGTTGAGAAGTTTTTTTTCAACATGAATGAGATTTTATAATGCAAATGCAGTAAGTGGAAAATTTCGTTATCGATTCGTTTCGTTATCGTTCGTTAAGAATTATTAGATATTAAGCGAACCAGTTAATTAAAAGCATTTTTCTTCGATTTTTATTTTAATTTGCTGTTTACTTATTATATAAAAGTCAACATATGACTAGAAAATAAAATACGTAAAAGTACTTTTAAAATATTTTATGAAAAATGAAGAATGTTAGTAATAATCGAGCAATAAAAAAAAAATTATGTCACTCTATGCGATTATACGATTATATCATAGAAAAGTGCAATGCTTTGTAACGTTATTTTAAACGATGAAAACTTAAAAACATTAGAATTTATCTATGCTATTAAAATTATATAATAAATGTTTATTTGTGATAAATGAAGCAGCATTTGAAACAATGTTACAACATATTTTTATTTTATTATTATTATACCTTATGTTAACTAATTTATTGTATATCAATATACATCCATTCTCTTCGCAATTTACAATAAGACAATCCCAATAATCATATATTTAATATATATATATATATATATATATATATATATATATATATATATATATATATATATATACATGCTTGTTTATTATTTGCTACTTAACATACATATTGTCGCTATTTATATTAATGAGGATTCTATTGTCTCTTCGTGGAAATTTACATGTAACTTTAAAAAATGTTGGTTGCATAAAATATTTATATGTTGATATTTCATGAACAGTTTTTTTTTTTGTTCAATTTTTTAATTTCATTCCAAACAGGAGCTCCAACTTGATATTTTTGGGATATTATTTTATTTATTGTTCGAATTATTTTAATCTATAAAATAATGGTAAAAAAAATGAATATGATATTATCAATAAAAGAGAATTTGAAAATCATTAAAATTATTTATTGCATAAGAAAATACTGTATTTGTAATTTCACTTTGTATATTTGAGATTTCGATTTTGATGTTTGCCAGAAGCAAAACAAACAAGAGCTTTAAGTAAAATTAAGTAAAATACTATTTCTGTAGATATAAAAACTAGAGAATTATTTAATAATATAATTAATATATTTCTGATATTATTATTTATCTTGTTTATTAATGTAATAAAGCACTTTTGATAATAATAGGATAATATAATTGAATGTAAATGAGCAAATACAAGGTGTTATTCAATGTATAAAAACTTAAATAATAGAAAATTACCATTCACCTCGAATAGTTCGCGGCAAATTCTAATAAAACTACAGGTCAGAGTACTTTTCTTAATTACCTGCACATGTATAGATTATTAGAATAACAAAGATGAATAGTAAAACAAAATAAACTAAAAAAACAAAGGAATAATGGATTAATCGAGCAGATATGCTCTAATTGGTAGTTGATGATTATTTTTGCATAATGATTCATTCGCGAAAGTCAAAGTTTTAAA